GATAGATACAGAAACAGATAGATGGACGGATTATAAGTAAATAGATAGATAAAGGGATAGATAAATAGAGAGAGAGAAAGAGAGAGATGGACAGTAAAGAGATAGGAAAACAAATACGAAAGCGAAGTACAAAAAAAAAAATAACAAAGCAAAAAAACAAAAACAATTAAACATCAACTGAAAATAGACAGGATGATCACTTCGTAAGAAAAAGAGAAAATAAAAGAAACCAAAAGCGAAAAACAAACAAAAGCAAGATAAAAAATGGCATGAAAATGGCAAGAAAGAAAGAGAGAGAGAGAGAGAGAGAGAAAAAAAAAGGAAAAAGGAAAAATGATTTTATTTTTTGCTCTCTGACTGTTGATGTCATGTCCCGGCTCCCTCAATGACCTGCTATGGGCCAGTCCGCTTTAATTGTGTTGACTCTTCACCTGAACTCGGCTTAATTAAGGGCTTATTAAGATAGTTACGTTGCTGTATCCTTTGTCTCGCTTTAAATCCGGCGATGTACTTAAATCCTGCATCCTGACATGATCCGGTTAAAAGACATGAGCGCGTTGGAATAAAGCTTTGAAGTGACGGTTGATATGTATCTTTTTAGCTTTTATTTATTTATTCATTCATCTATTTATTTATTTACTTTTATGAATGAATTGTTTTATTGATATATTTAGGTGTTTCTATACTAAAGTATATACAATGTTTATTTACACTCAAGATAGCACGCACACGCACATCGACAGACATACATACACACATTTATCCACATAAACGCCCAGCGATTCTACACAGTCACACAGACACACACATACTCACACACACACATACACACACACATGCACACACACACACACATACCTTTATCCCCACAAACACCCCACCACTCCACACTTACACAAAAGCAAACACACTTCTTTATCCCCCCCCAGAACAACAACAAGCACATTTCCCCACATTCAGAGCCAGCCACTCCCCACACCCAGACTTGTTCCCTCCCTTCGTACTGTACATCATCTTTACACCAATGCATATATTTGCACTCAGACGATAAATGTAAACAAAACAACAGATGGAGATACGTGAAGGCTTATCAGGGAAAGAAATCCAGGCATCCACCTCATAGTTTATTCATGCTTCTCCTGCATTGTCTTAGCATTTTCTGAACAAGGTCACAGCCAAGTCATGCATGGCTGGATGAGCAGAAAATTTAGACTGCATGGGAGACTCTCCTCTTGATTTTCGAGGAGGTTAATTTTATTTCTTTACCCTTTTCTTCCTCTTCTTCTTCTTCTTCTTCTTAATTCTTATTGTTTTGCTTTGTATTTTTTCGTCTTTTATTTCGTATTTACCTTTTCTCTTATACACCAATTCTTTTTCCCTTTTCATTTTTTTTTTCGTCATCGCTTACTCCTTCTAAACTCTTTTCTTCTGAAGTCCATAAACCCCCTCTTCACCCCCCCCCCCCATAACAAAATTCTACTCCCCCCCTCCAGTAAAGTAGTCAAATCCCCATAATCTCGCTGTCCCCTTCCCCATTCCCCATAACATCCCCAACAAATTTTCAACGTTACTCCTCTTTTCTTAACTCCCCCCCCCCCGCCGTTTTCTCCCCCCCCCCCCCCGAAAATGTACTCATCCTCTCCTCATGAAATCCTCCCTCACACACTCATACGATGTGCTCATTGCCTCTCCTATAATCCCGTTATGATTCACCCGCATTCTTAGTCTTGAGCAAAAACAAAACAAAATCTCACCTACGTTTCTTATCCCTTAAAAAAAAAAACTGATGAAAAGGCAAAAAGTAAAGAATTTAAAGAGATGACAGCCCTCCCAACAAAAAAAAAAAAAAAAATAAAAAAAAAAAGAAAGAAAAAAAATAAAATAAAAAGTAGAAATAAAAAATTAACCATTCAAAAGTTAAAAGTAGAACAAGAATAAGATACAAATAAAATAATAATCACCCTCTTCCAGTACTTTCAATGACCTCTCCTACATCAAAAGAAAATGATAATAAAAAAAATAAGAAACAAGAAATATACAAAAACCCCACCCAACTCCCTCCCTCCCCCTCCCCCCCCCAAAAAAAAGAAAACCCATCATTCAAAAATAAAACGCAATAAAAATAAGTAAATAAATAAACTCGAGACATACTCACCTTTTCCCCCACCATTCAAAAATAAAACGATATAAAAAATAAACTTTCAAAAATGAAAATGAGAAGAAGAATTATGAAAAAATAAATTCGAAAAACACTCACATTCTCCCTATGATATCACTTATCCCCCCACCCCCCCAAAAAAAGAGGAAAACCCCCATTAAAAAAAATATATATAAATTCACTCACATTCTCCCTATAATATCACTTACCCCCCAAAAAAAAGAAAAAAGAAAAAAGGAAACCCCCCCTCACTCAAAAAAAAAAAAAAAAAAAAGAAGAAGAAGAAAAAAATATATATATACACACACACACACATTCATATAAACTCGAAACGGCACTCAC